TGAGAAATTCCAGAATTCAGCTGGCATATGTAGACCTGGTAATTTGTAACCCAGAAAATACAGTTACAGGTTTTTTCCTCGATTATAATTGAGATAAAAGCTTCCTTCAGTAGTGATGACCAAATAGGGGAGGAGGAAGTGGCCATTTGGAGAGTATAACTCCTGCCCTGGGAACCTGTCTGTCTTGTCAGCTGTGATCCCAGCTCTGAGATTGCTGACTGTCTCTGATAGGATCGCTTTCTAGAAAGACACAAACAGCTTTGCTCAGCTGTGACTAAAAAAAATGGTTTCTGATTTGTTGGTTTGTTTGTTTATTTGCTTCTTGCATCTTTATCGCTCATGCCTATGTCAACTTGAGACTGGGCTATGATAATGTTACCTTGGAAGGCTTTTATGTTTTTTAAAAAATTACCATTTTTGCCGTTGCCTATTTACAGCATTAGCTAATTTATTTTTCCAAAAGTATCTTAGCTGGGTAGCATTACCCATTTAAATCTCAAACACCCATACATGGCTTGGCACTTGCCTGTCTGGCATCTCTGTCCAGCTTGTCCTGCCCTTCTGCCTCATGTCTGAAACCAGCATAAATCCTGATTTCCAGCTCTCTCAAGGACAACTGTTGGAAACAGTCCTTGCTGTGAAAGAGGGGGGAACAGCTGGTAAGCAAGCATGGGAGGAATCTCTAGAGATGAGCTTCTCTGCTAAGAATATGTTTTCCATGTTCTGGAGCAAAGTGGAGTAGATTGCACATTGCTAGTGGCAGATTCTGTATTGGACTGGCTGGCTGACTGTGTTCTCATTAATAAATGACTAAGATTTTTTTACACATCTGTAATACATGGAAAGGTTACTATAGTAATCTTTCTAGATCTCACTTTCCCCAAGGTCCTCCTTAATTTACTGCGTCTGCTTAAAAAAAAATCTTGAAGTTATGAATGAGAAAGAAGAAGAATGTCTTGGCTGGGACATTTGTTGTTTCATTAGAAGAAAGAAAAGGAGGGGGGAAACATTATAATCTTGGGAAATTGTTGGCTTACTGTGAAGTATTGTATCCTAGAAACAATGCGGAAAGTTCAAAATTTTCATTAGTTAAGCATATTGTTGTTCTTATTATGGATGTGGCTTGAATTTCTGAGATGAACAAACCGACTAGATTTATCTTCTACTTTTCCTAGAGCAGGCTTGTTTCAGAATTCTGGGAAAGTAGAGCGGTTGTGTGATAAAAAGCTCTAACCATGTGGCTCTGTTGTAGGTAATTAATTTCTGATAAACACTTCATGTGGCCACTGTCATCTTTACTTCCCATATTGGCCCTCTTCAGTCCACCTAGATTTCTATACGAAAGATACGCATTACAGATGCTCTAGTCATGTGCTTTCCCTCCGCCTCTCCTCTTCCCAATCCTTTCTCTACTTCCTTTTATCTTCTGGCTCTCAACCTCTCTGAGAACTGCAGTGATACTGGAAACTTGTTGTCCTAGGGTTTTTTGATACATGCAAGTGTATCCTGTCTCACACGTGCTGCCTGTTTTCTGCCTGTCATTTCATGTTGCACACAATATCAGTCAGCTGTAACTGCTTAGCAAAAATAAATGTGCTAATACAAAGCTAGAAAGAAAATGCTTACATTGCTTGAGTTGTTTACTAGAAAGCTTTCAAGCAATTTGCAGACTCTGTTACTGCAGAATTTGCTGAAATAACTAAACCTTTAAAAATTTTGAGAACTAATTAACTTTTTAAATTGCATATGGCACGTGACTAGTATTCTGTAATAGCAGGCACCTCTGCGGCAAAAGGAGAGGGAGATGCACTTGGCTCAAATTATCTTTAATCTTAATCTAGTGTTTCAATGCTCTCTCCTTCACTTCCTGAATCAAACTTTTGGATTGTGTACATTAGTTCTGTTGTTTCACATCTTTCCAGTGAGAAACATTCTGATAACAATTTTTGTTCCTAATGATTTGTTAGCAAGATTAGACATCTGTTAAAAATATTAAGAGGCCAGAGGCCAAATACATTGTTTTCTTTTGAAGCTGCAGTGAACATTTGCCAGTATATGTAAAAACCTCTTGTTCAACCTTCTATCATTTTTAGAGCAACCTTCAATCATTTTAGAATATTTGATTTAGGATTACAATTCAGGGTTATATTCCTTTGGACAGTAATATATGGGGGCAAGATTGCAGAGCTCAAAGTTAGGAAAACAATCTAAGCAAATTTCTTTTTCAACACAAACAGACTTGCTGATGCAAGTCTTGTTTTACATGAAATCCTAATTCATCAAAGCTGGATAGTGTTGGGCTAATTTTTTTCTGTTGTTTTCGTTTTGTGATTAAGGGGCAAATTATGTCCAAGTCTTGGATATCTCTATGTTGATATTTTTCCTTTTTCCATGTAATACTTGAAAAGGGGTAAGAACTGGTTGAAGTATAGATACTTCATTGAGAAGACTTAATAGTGGGTCACATATTTAAGGTTAGCTCTTTAATTCCTGAATGACACATTTTAGGTTTAATTAATGGATTATTGAATTAATTTTAAGTAAAATCAGTATCTTTGACCATAGGAAGATAACAAAACACCTGAAATACTATGTGATTATCTATCTAATCTATCTATCTGTCTACGTGTATGAAAGTATTTGGGCTTTTTGCTATTGAAACATAAAAGAAAATTGAGCATGGCACTAACAACGCTAAGGTTGTGGATTCAATTCCCGTTCGGTCCCCATGTGTTGCCTGATCTAGTCAAGAGGTGGCGTCCCTGGCAGTGGGGAGGCTGGATTAAAATGATCTCTAAGGTCCCTTCCAGCCTAGGCCATTCTATGGTTCTATGAAAAGACATTGTTTGGACAATACTTGTTGTTATTTTAATTTGTATACAAAACAAAAGGAAGGAATTTTAGATTGATTGAGAATGAAATAGAAATGTCAGTGTTACATCACCCAGGAGGTATACAAGTGTTGAATATACAAATGTTGTGGAGCCAAAAAAGGTTTTTCCAATTTGTTTGAAATAGTTAAATGCCATACTGTAATCTTTCTGTCATTTTTTAGGTGTGATGATTATTAACCGTTTATGATGGGGTTTTTGCAAGTGTCCATGGTATTTCTTAGACAGAAAATACATCATTTGAATTGCTTTTCAGTGCTTAATAAATATTGTAGAAAAAATATTTTCTGATAGCCAAGTCACAGTTTATTCTTTATATGTTACCACATACTTGGAAAATTTAATGTAACTGGAGGCATAAAATATGTTTCGTAGTATTTATAAACATCCCCTCCAAAAACATACAGTTGTAAACTGCAATCTGTTCACAGAGTTTCTCCAGAATGTGCACAATTGACTGCAAGTGACAGTGATTTTAAAACAAGTAGTATGGCTAAATTGGGCTATTATGTTCTATATCCAAATACTGTAAGAAGCATTTACTTGTTGTTTGAAGTCCTCCTTTGTTGAAGAATCATTTATGGAGGAAGTGCCTTATGAGACTCCTCTCAAAACTTGGCGAAAATTGCATGGCAAAGTAAGGTTGGAATCATTATTAATGTCATCACACAAAAATTCTCAAGGTTTTGGAACAAATTTAGAACATACATTTGTAACATTAAACAACATTAGTTACTTTACTAGCTTTGGTCTTTTGCATAGAAAAGAACCCCTCAGTAAGGTACATAGTAAAAAATTAGAAGGTACAGTAACTGTGGGATCCTGTGTGAGCTTAATTCAGTCCATATGTTTTCAATTTGTGGTCACATCCTCCTTTTTATTCTGTAGAACTCTGTCAGTTTTAATGTATGGATTGGGTTGTAGTCACTAGGCATCTGCTCAGTATTTTGTCCTCTTACAGACCAGGGTGTGATTCTAGATCTGGCTTACAGTGTGCCGTTCAAACCCTCCTCTGAAAATATGTGGTTCTAGGCATATTTTTCTGTTTTGCTTATCACTATGGTAAATAAGGGACTTTAAGGTCACTAGTTTGCCTTCTTCCACTCTGAAAAAAGGCATGTTTTAATTCTCATTTTGCAGGTGGGAAGCTGAGATACATTTGCACAGGCAAACTTTAATTCTTAAGTGCTTTATTTTACAACTACACGAATTAGATTTGTGTTAGAAAAAGAGTGCAAATGAGAAGTGTCATTTACACGGTGCCAAAAAAGAGTCAATCTGCATCAAATTCCTTCATCTCTTTTTGTCCTTTCCCTTTTCTTCCATTTTTCTATCGCATCTATGAAAGGTGTCTCGGTATCTTAGCTGAGAGCTTTGTTTTTCCTTGGGAAGTAGGAAAGCTTAATTTTACAAAAGTGCTAAAAATGAATTGAAGGTTCCTCCCTTTTTAACTGATTTTTTAGGTATTTTACTAAATAGTGACATAATAAATAAGGAGTCAGATCTATACAAGAAGAAAACTTTAACTTGAAAGTAACTTCTACCTTTCTCTACATTTATCAGCAAAATAGAAATATTAAAAAATACGTAATTCCCAAACTTGAATTTTGTGGCAGCTAAATGGAACATAAACCTCACAATATCTGAGCCTTGTTCTATTATATAAGCCATGAATTTTGGCAGAGATTGTTTGACAAAACTGTTTTCCCAATCCTATTTTAAGTCCCTTCCGAAGTAGGTATGTTGCATTTTTGATATTTTTTATAACTGTGTGTTTGCTTAGGGGAATATTGAGAAATGTCTTAAAAATATATTTTTATCTTAACCAGGCCTAACTACCTTTATTCAGTGCTAGTGGGAGTTGCCAGCAGTGTTGATGCATTGTAAATGTGGACTGTATAGTTAAACCTATGAAAAAGTCAAATTTTGCATTTAAGCTCTGAAACATATATGACTTTTAAAAAAAATACTTGGCTTTGGTACCTGCTAAAAATGTAGGATTTCCTGCATTAAATTTAGGAATAGCACCAGAGCACAGAAAATAATACCAAGAAATGTTTGTCCCAACTTGAAACATGTAAATTTTCTAATGTTTTCTTTGTCACACAGGTACACACAAAGTTCCACTGCAGGCAAGCCCATGCTCCAGGCACCGATACTTCATGCCTGACCTTTTCCTATGATGGCACTGTACTTGTTAGCCGAGGAGGTAGGTGACTGAAAAAAACATTTGATGTGTTGAATGTAAGACAATTTTAACTTTACTAAGTGAAATGGTTGGGTAAACAAACCGTTTTAATTGTATCATCATTAAATGTAATTGTCATGGAGCTAAGATAATGAAATCAGGTATTAGTGATTTAAACTTGAAGTGTTTTGCAGTTTACATCTTTTATTTTGATACAGCATGCAATACTGTCTTTCTGAAAGCACACTTTACAGCAGTTAAGTAATATTTTAAGAGTACTTTGCCGTTTATAATACGCAGTTCACAATCTGTCTTCTTGTCTAGCATTAGTAATACACCAAGAGGAAATTATTACCTTAACCAAAAATAAAAAAAGACCAGTTTTCTTACTTAGTTCTTTCCAGGAAGGTTGCTGCCTCTTAATAACAGTATCTCTGTTCTGAAGTTAAAGCAGCTTTCTTATGCAGTGTCCTTTTCTTTTCTGATTGGAATTTTGATCAAGTTTATATTAGTAACGTCAAGACGTGATGGCTGGAAGTGAGAGGCCAAGATGTACTTGAATGGCAAAAAAAAAATTGAAATGTTTACAGGGCAGGAAGAAAAAGCTTATTTTTTAAATATCAGGTAGAACTTCTGTAAAAAAGTGTTAGATAACAGAAAAAGTCTTGAAAAGCAAAGACGTATTTGAAGACTCATTCATCTCAGTGTTAGATGTCTTGTATAGGATGGTGTCTGCCTAAGACAGCTTTTTATACAGAGATTTGTCTACCCAGTATTTTGCAGGCAGGTGCAAGCATACAATCTGAGCTGTCTGAATGGAAACCAGCTGTAACCAGGAGCTGTGTATATGCATTAGCATGGCCCCAAGGCCAAATAAACAGGCCTAGGGAGAGGCAGTATATGTTAATGTCAGCTAACATTGTGCCTAACATGTGTACAGGACATCTGTTAAGTTTAGTACTTAAGAGAGAATGATATTACATATACAAAATACCAGGAGAGAGGTATTCATAGAGAGGTATTCATACTCCTGTTCCTGGTGAGTGAAGTGGCACTGGTGGCTTGTACAGTGATAGGCAGTTGCTATTGGATGCTACCTCTCTAGCTTCTTAGTATGTCTTGCCACATTTCTAAGATTCCAAATATTATGTTCCCCAGAGCACATCTTTCAGAATAAGATGATGGTGGTCTTGTCCTTGGACAGCTCTGGGTTTACAAGAGCACACTAATAGTACTTGGATTGTTTCGTAATTGATGTTCAGGCTCCTGGATCCAGTGTTCTGCCACTACAGCCATCATGAATGAGTCCTAAGTGGTTGAGCTTTCAACCTTGCTGGTCCTTAGTGAACCACATGCTTTGTGAGAAACTTTTCCTGCTTGGAAATAGGTGAACCACCTGTCTTTCTGTGTGCTATGTGCAATAAATGCTGCCCCTGTCTGCCAGTAGTGTTGCCCTTGAAAAATTCACACAGACATACTTCATAAGATTTAAAGAGAAATCTCAGTGTGCCTTTAAATGTTAACAGCAAATAAGCTTACTACTTACATGAGGAATATTCACTAGTGCTGTCTTGAAACATTCACTTACTAAGTTCTCTTATGTATCATATTTATGAATGCAGAACACACATGAGTTTTGCTTTTTTAATTGTACAGTGCACTTTTGGTTGCCTGCTCTTCTTCATCTGTCTCCAGATTTTGTCTCATGTTAAACAGACTTTCACTTACTTAATATTGTGCCTACCACACTCTGCTCTAAGCTACATAAAATGTTGATTGGTTTTTTGTACAGAAATTTGGCTGCTCAGTGTGGATAGTATATTCAAAAAAAAGCCCAGTGTCTATTATATTCAAAAAAAAGCCCAGTGTGCACTGTGCTAGAGAACAAGGCGGGTTCATACCTTATTTTGGCTTGTTTGGTTAGTGCTTTATTGTGAGTATTGCTTTGGATCTGTACCAACAAAAGCAGATGTGGATCCAGCATGCATAGATTAACACACCTGCCAAGTGCCAAGGATCAAAGAGAGAATAGTTGTTTGGGGCATGGGGACTTCCACTGAAAGCCTGATTGACTCTTCTGCATCTGATGTAGATTCTGTGTTGGATATGAGAGAGATGAGGCAGAGCTCAGCTGCAGGCACAGGGGAGAATGAAAAGCTAAGGAGCTGCTTATGAGAGTTCCCAGTCTTACTCTTGGTGGGTATTAGGTTGTAACTTGACAGAAACTTAAGAAAGTGATATTTTTGTACACTTGTAACCATGAAAGTGGTTTGGTGGGGGTTTTTTTTTTGTTTGTTTGTTTTTTAATCTAAATGCAGTGAAGGAGTATTTGGGGAATGTTTTCTTTTTTTAGCAGTGAAATGGTAAGCATTAGAACTGAACTTGGGGTCCTATTATAAAATTCTAAAAAACTTCTTTTTGACTCCTGGTATGTATTTTCTGTGTGACAGTGTACAGACTCACTGCTATCTTAATTGGTAAATGTTATAGGAAAATATGTTCACCATAGGTAAACCAAGAAAAAAATATTCACATCTAAGCCTATCAGATAGCTTATGCAGATTCATGCTTTCTTTTTGAGCTCAAAGTTTTTTTTTTTCCCAGTTGATGTTTTGGCTGTGATTTGGCTTTTTTTTCATAGTTTTAGCTGTATTTCTTTTTTCACAGTGTTCTTGAGGAAAAATAAAACATTTAATTTTGAAATTGGTTTAAAAGGCAGAAACACCTTGACTAGAGTTTCCTGTGTACTCAAGGATTACACAGCACCATGTATAGTGACTTTCTGTTTTCTGTAGACTACTAATACAATTCTCTTTATGGAGAATACTGACGTCAGAATTTTAAAAATCAAATGGTTTTATGTAAAGTAATAGAATCATAGAATCATAGAACAATTCAGGTTGGAAAAGACCCTTGGGATCATCAAGTCCAACCTTTGACCCTACACTACAAGTTCACCCCTAAACCATATCACCCAACACCACATCTAAACGACACTTGAACACATCCAGGGATGGCGACTCAACCACCTCCCTAGGCAGTCTGTTCCAGTGTCTGACCAAATGTGCCAATGGTAATGAGCAATGGATTTACCCAGAGGTCCTAGAAGAAGAGTCTTTAGTGAGCCAGGATAGGCATTTTGCAAACAGCTCTTAGTCAAAATAAGGCCAATGCACTGATAATCCAAAGATACTCCAGATTTCTGATACTCCAAATTTCTGATACTCCAAAAATTTCTGATACTCCAAATTTCTGCTTGTTAATAGAGAAGGTCTTGTGGAGGATGTAATTGTTGGAGGCTGTCTTGGACAAAGTTATTTCTGAGGAGCTGAGTGCTGATGTTAAATTCAAACAATGCCAATAGTCCTGTTCATAACACTTGGAGCTGAAATGTCCTCAAAGTCTTCCAGTTTCTTTCACTTCCATATGTTTGGAGAGAATGAATGTACTGAAATATTTGGCCAAGCTGGTATGGATGCAGGTGGTGGTGAGAGTTATTCCAAGTGTAAGTGCAGAAACCCCAACTTGTAGCTTCTCTCCCAAGGCCTTTGGCTCTGGGTGAGCATGGCCCTGACCTGTGGTGCCTCTGGAGGTCATTCTTTAGCTGTTGCAGCTTCTCTTGCAGAACCAGTGCAGAATGCAGAAGCATATAACTTGTTCTGTAAGGTGCTACTCCTCACATGTATTGTGTAAACCTTCACAGAAAGGCTTGGAGTTTATAAATACATTCTGGTGGTCCCTGACGGTAAGCCTTGTTATACTGTGCATTTCCCATGCTGTATTTTCTTTAAATTCTCCTTTCCTGTGTTTCTTTGTTTACCTCAATGATCTTTGTGAACTTCTGTCCTTGAGCTTTGCTTTCAAACACAGGACTCCCTGTTTAAAATAGGAACTTCTTCAAGGAAATCGTTCACTTTAGGCATTTTTAAGTTGCTTGCAGCACTTTTGCTTCTTTTGGGCCAATTTAAATCCATGTACTTATTTTCCTGGTTGGTATCTTCTGAAAAGGAAAAAAACACAAACAGATAAAATCTTTGGAGTATCAGTGCATTAGCCTTATTTTGACTAAGAGCTGTTTGCAAAATGCCTATCCTGGCTCACTAAAGACTCTTCTTCTAGGACCTCTGGGTAAATCCATTGCTCATTACCATTGGCACGGTGGTATCTGACCTGATCGTATCAGACTACAGTCTGTTTATTGGTATCCTTTTTATTAAAATAGCAAAGAATAGGAATGCTACTAAAAATTCTGTAAAAGCTTTACATAATCCTGCCAGGCTTTGGAGATGTCTGCCATGAAGAAAAACACTGAATGATCTGAGTGCTTCATACTGAACTGCACTTCTCTTTACAAGGTTTTGTTTTAATGGTAACTGGTTTTATCCATGTATGAAGAAATTAAAAAGTAAGTCAGTACTGTTACAGCTCTCCTAAAGAAGCCCCTTAAACATCAAGGAATGTTGCTACTGGAAAAAATCCTCAGTGGTGTGGAAATCTAATTGATCTGTTTGCTTAGTGACAGTGATTCAAGTCTGAATGCAGATTAGATTAAGTAATGGATATTGCATTTGAAATACAAAAAATTTTAATTACAAAAATTGAATTTGGGCAAATTTTTAATGATGATCGGGGTTTCATGGCACTGGCCAAGTCAATCTCCTTGCGTCTTTCCAAATAATCATCCATTTCTGCACAGTTAAAGACAGTGTTGATTTCAAATCAGCCATGACTTTTTGAGTCCTTCTAGTGTTTTCTAAGTTTTTAGACTAGCAGATTACGTTCTCTTGCTCACAGAAGATCTGTAGCTAAGTGTCTGACTGCATCTCTGTTGCTAACGCCTGGCAGGACCACAGCTTGAAGATCGTGTCAAGGCCCGTTCCACTGGGAACAGAACAGCCTTGCCTGCTAGCCTTAGATCTGTCCCTGTCCAGGAGATAGGCAGAGTGGTCAAATGACATCCTTTGCATACATTTATAGAGTGCTGGTCCTTTAGATATTATATTTAGATATTTAGATGTAATATCAAAACTTTTGAAGATAGTGAGTTTTTTTGTTGGGGGTGAGACTGTAAAGGGAGGGTTCATATTACAATCTACTGAAAAACAATACGAAAATAGATATTCCCAAAACAAGGACTCAGCATTCTTTAGCTTACCAATGAACAGAAATATACTCTGTCCTAGACATCATTTATTTAAGTTGTCTACCTCTTAAAAATATTTTGTAGTAAGGAGTTATCCTAGTCTTTAATATAAACATACATGATGTACGAGGCCACACATTACTGCTTTCTCTGTAAAGGGTACTGCTGGTCTTGATTTTTTTGTTACAGCATGTTTGGGTTTTGGGGTTTTTTTTAACTTTTATTTTAACATTTTATTTCCAAGGCTTCTTTTAAGCTTGATCTCAAAGGCTGTGAACCCACAAAATATGCTTAGACAACAAAATTACTGCCCTGCCATGTTTGTGCTTTAGAAGCAGGCAAGTCTGTGGGTTACCAATTGCTTACCTGCTCTTCCCTCTATGCCAGGAAGATTTTTGGGGTTTTTTTGCATAACATGAATTGTTTGAAAGTCATTCTTTTCACTCTTGAAAGCATTGAGGCACTGTTGTCAAATGCAAGATGTCTAGGCGCCTGGGTGAGAGGCTTCAGAGCTCAAACTCTGTAGCTCATCTCATGCTGGGAATATGTTTCCCAGAGGGATGATCAGCCGAGATGTAGATCACTTTGAGAATTACTAACTAATCTCTTTTTTTTCCCTCGTATTCTCACTTTGTTAGTATGTCATAACTTTTTGAAAAGAAATAAACATGCTGACTTTTACTGGCCTACAGTCACACCATGTTTATCAAACACAGATGAGAATTGCTATAAATGTCTTGCTGTAACTTCGATTTTGGCTTTTATGGCCAAAGGTGGTGTAAAGGGGTGTGAAAAGGTTTCATTATAACAAGTGTAGGCTCACTTGCTTCCCATCAGCCTTTTTCCAAGGATTTTTGACTGATTCCAGGGCCTGTTCTTTCTACTGAGATTGCAATTTGTTTCTGTTTGCTTGCTAAAGAAGGGAGAAGACTTCACATGCCTTCTCTTCTTCCTGATCGTTTTTTGGGGGCAGGTGGCAAAAGGCCACATAAAGCTCATTTAGTTTTTCATCTAGACCATGCATAATGACATTTTAATTTCTTTTGCTGTCACAGAAGTTACATTTACTCCTAGTACCAAAGCACTAACACTCACAAACACAGAATAAATTTAGTGTTTGGAGAATCTGATTTCACTGTGGGTAATGGGTCTTGGTAAGTGAGATTGCCACAATGGAGTTGAGCCACTGAGCAGAAGTTTCTGATCTACCGGAGTGCAGCAGGTAGAACTTTTTATCCCTTGCATTTCATAGTAATTTAGGGATAAAAACCTTCCAAACCATCATTTTGAATGCTTCTACTGTATCATTCCATTCTTTTTGTGTCCGAGTGAGATGCTATTTTCTAAATTTGTTCAAATTCTTAATTGAAATTCTTTATGTCTAACCTTTATTCCGTTTGTTTCATAGGAGATGATACTTTAAAGATATGGGATATCAGACAATTTAAAAAGCCTCTTAATTCAGCAGAAAGACTGCCCAGCTTCTTTCCAATGTAAGTGCTCTTAATTTATTCCAGCTACTAGAAATAGCAGTAGTTAACATTGAACAGAATGGAGTCTGCTAGTCTTCTCCTTAGTTCTCACTATGTCCAGAACTGTGTAGAAAGGACAGCACAGGGAGGACTGTGCAGTGGCATTTCTTGACTATTTTAGGATGATTCTTGACTATTTTAGGACTTTACATTGCTTTAAACAATCTTGTGTTCTTTGCGATAATTCATAGCTTTGCTTGTTTTATGTTATTTTTCAGTCTCATATGTCTTAAGTCTAATTAGATTAGCCACTTTTCTGGAGGAGGCCAGTGTATTACCTTATGTTTGTGTAATGAGATACATAAGTAATCTTCATTCCTATTTGGTCTATGATTAATAGAAAAAGAGCTGGATTGAAAAGTAGACATAACATGAAGGTGCATGGTATGAATTCAATGTCAGAAGTGCAGATGGCTCTTGGTGTTGTATTTAATGTTTTTGCTGGTATTACCTGCGTTTCTCTTGCTATAGAACCTCCAAGTCCAACTCTAATGGCAATTTGTACTTCTGAAATAAGATCTTAGAAAGGCAGGTAAAGGATTTTGTGATTGTTTGTTGGGTTTTTAACTTAATGATGATAATCAGATTTGAAAGTACCTTTTTTGGTTTTTTGTTTCTAATGTTCGAAAGTTTGCCAGACTTTTGAGTCTAGGCAGATTTTATTGGGAGAAGGATTTTTACTGGATCTCCCAGTTTTACATGTTCTGTGCACAGCTGTAAAGGTATATGTAAACTTTGTCTGATAGATGTCAGCTGACAAAGGTTTTTTTTTTTCCAAGCTTTGTCTTGAAAGAATTAACAAGTAGAAACAATTATTTTTAAGGAGTGCAATTTGTGTATAAATTCTCCGTATGTTAATTAATTATTTGCTCAGTATGATGATTTATTTTTATCAACAGGACAGACTGCTGTTTCAGCCCAGATGATAAAATACTCGTTACAGGCACCTCTGTTAAGAAAGGTGGTGGCAGTGGGAAGCTTATTTTCTTCTATCGGCAGACATTTCAGAAGTTTTATGAGATAGAAGTTACAGATGCAGTATGTATTTTAGTTTTCTTTTGTCTACTATTCAAAATGTGAATGAAATCATATTCATATGCTTTTTCCACTTCATACAGGTAATGACCTACTAACACCATTGTAATTTTTCTACTCTGTATTTAAGAGATAGGGTGGCCTGAATAGGTGCTATTCTCTATTTAGAAAAAACCCCACAAAATAAAATCTTGAGACAAGGTGTTTAGGCACTAGGAGGTCCCTGCTTTGGTGTACATACTGCAATTCTCAAGGATTTCTGTGAACCCTTCTAGATCTGTAAAGTGAGGCATGGATCCTAAAGTTCTTATATCTTTATGCTCTTTACTTCACCAGTTACCATGACGAGATGCCATACAGTGACAAAGCTCCTACTTATCTGTGAAACTAAACCTGTAGTTACTAGAAAATGTATTTCAATGGACTCAAGCTTGTGTAAATGCAACAATTTTGTGGCAAAGGAAGGCATTGTTAGAAATCCCTCCGTCATGCTCTCCCTCTATTCTCACCAGTAATATAAAAACCTATAATTGTGAATCTGTAATATGGAAGAGTCTTGTGTATGGCTTGAGCTGCCTGCCTGTTCCTTTATGCAGAAGGAAAAAGATTACATCATGGTTGAAAAAAGGTCCTTTTACTCTTGTGATGTACACAAATAAGCTTATACATTATAACAAACAGGAGTGGGAGAAATCCTATCTTAGGATTTCTTAGGGAGAAATCATATCTTAGGTATGGCAATGTCTGTGTGTGCTTAAGTCCCATTAGGTGTTGTGTTCTGTCAGATAGCAATTTTGTTTCACGATATAATTTTCTCATTCTGCATTTTTCTAGCCTAGCACAGCAGTCTCTCCAAGCAACAGGGGACCAAAACCAGTTGTGCTGGAGATCATTTATACAGAATTTACATTTGTATTTACTTTTCAAATCCCATTTTTTCTTCTAATTCATCCTAAAGCAAAACATGCTTATGGATGCGTTTGTTATATCCCTCATTTCTATGGCAGCAGTCATGCAAATTAAAAATGCAGAATTCATCTCAAAGCAGAAAGCATGTGTTTTCTGGAGGGGATTAAAAAATTGCTGTTTTTATTTTAAATGTGTGTTCTAAATACTGTTCTTACAGGACATTTTAAGTTTTATTTAGTGGTAAAGAATTTCTCCAATGATAGCATGAAAAGGATTTTATTTTTTTTCTCCTGTAGAACAAATCAAGCCTCAACTCTTCAGGATTTTTAGTGGACTTATATTTTCTTATACAAGTATTACAACCAAGTATTGATAATGTTTTCCTGAGACAAAACATGAATGTTTCAGTATCTCCTCTGAAACTTCATGACAGAGAAAAGAAAACCCTGCTTAAGGTATTGTGCAAGAGGTAGATTGTTGTAGGAGCTCTTCTGTCCTTAGGCACAGGTGTCACATGTAAAGGTTTTGTTAGACAGCTTTGGGTTAGCAGTATTTTAGGATTTATAAATATTTTGGAGACAGATCACAGGATGAGCATCTCATCGTCAGCAAATTTAACAGAATGATTCAATGGAATTAGTTACAATCAAAATAGCGAATTAAAGGTTTGAAAATCATAATGGTCACCTGAAACTTAGAGTAGGGTTATACACACAGGTGAAGTTTAAATCACATCACAGGTAGGGACAAGCTAACAAACAGTTCTAGGTCAAATTACACACACACAAAGACAGGCAACACACACTGAGATTAACCTATGATAAAAGTTTCCCTTTTTTTGAGTTACCAGAATTACTGTCTTTTATGTGCCGGCATTCACAAGAGGCAGTCGATGAGCTTCACAAAACCAAGCCTTTGAGTCCTTTCAAAATCATTGGCGGACAGTCTTTCACTCCTTCCAAAGACCTCTCTGAGAGGCATCCCAGCTCAGGGTTGTGGTCCTGGGTAACACAGTGCACTGCAGTCCCAGAGAGCTCAAAGGGTCTCCCTCCTGTATTGCTAATATTTATAGGTTCTCGAGGTGATCGGCTTTGGTCAGTGTTTTTCACCTGAGCTTTTAAGACTGCAAGAGTGAGAACTTTGTCAATGGTGGATCCTGTATCTCCAAAAGAAATTAAATAGTGAGAATTACTGCTCACCAGCCTACCTGTTTTGTGATCAGAGGAAATATAATCATCATTTGCTAATATGTCCCAGAAAAACAATTCTTTAATTCTCTGAAAGAGAGGATCTGTTTACATGCTGAGGTAGATAGTGCTACAAGAGAGTCCAGAAAATGTTGCTTTGCTCTCAGTTTCTTTCAGAATTGAGAGGTAAAGTTCTGTTTATCTGTCTCAAAATGGAAAAGAGACACGGAACTGAGAACCAGCAATAGGAAATTGCTGGAAAAAAAAAATTAGAGGTCAATAAACGACTTCACTGGGGCCACTCATGTAGTAAAATTCTAAGTATGTGTACAAATCTCAGCAGGTTCATAGTTTTATACTATAAATTTATGTAAGTGCTGATATTTATATGGTCCCTTTTAAGACTCTAGTTAATTATTTCTGTCTATAGAGTTGTAGTGCTGCTGCTTTTCTTCATTTGTAGTTGTAAAATTTAAGACTGTCATTCTCTTGCTTAAAATCTAATGGATCAAATGAAAATCATGGAAATAATAGGTGAAGAAATAAGACTTAAAATGCTGATCTTATGACATAATTTTCAGTGAGTCAGCACTAATAATACTGCTACAATTAAGCATATCAACCGTAAGTGGTGTTATAAAATAAATGCAGTGGTTTTTTTTCAATATACTTCTATTGTTTGTATCTTTCAACTTCTTCATTAGTGTTCTTTTTTTGTCTTCCTCACATCTCAATGTTTGGTGAAATACAAACACATAAAGACATACTAAAACTAAATTAGTTTTCAAGAAGCTGGTTTTTGTATTTTATAAGCAATACATGCTGTTGGACAAATCATTGGCCTGATAGATTATCTTCTGTGTAAGTAATAAACTACATAGAATTTCTTCTACGTAGCTTATTCAAGGTGGGGGGTTTTTTTCAGCAGTGAAGTAATTACTTGCCTTTTGTGGACTGCTTTCCTAGTTTCCATTTTTTACTTATGCTCTCTCAAACATGCAGGTAGCAGTTACTGTAGTTAAAGGTAAACACAGAAAGTTGTCTGAGACTTCAGTTTGCCTTCTGTATCTAGATATCATACCTTACCTTTTGTATATTATATAGTGTTTAAATATGTAAATTCAATGATTCTAATTTTGGCGTTTTTGACATTGCATCGATGAAGTTACACTATGCCATAAAAAAGCACAAATATACCAATATCTATCACAGAGCTTGATCTGCTTTTATTTCTCATGGAAATAATTTCAGTTGGATTCAGTCCAAATTACTTAAGAAAAGGGAATCATTAGTCATTTATTTCAAGTATAAAACGAAAATAATGAGACTTTTTGGGGACCATTTTTTACCAGCTTAGTGGTAGGACATACATAATCAGAATAATAGAAAATTGACTGTGAAGAGAAAATGTGAAGTATTAATGTGTTCCTTTTTTAATTTGACAAGGATTTTTTTTCAAGGAAATGCCGGTAAGCTTAGAAAATCAAGAACCACTAAAAAGCAGTAAACATTATCTTAAGGCTCCTTGGTAAATAGCCAGTGCAATTGGCCTGTGAATGAACCTAGGGGGTAATGGGAAAATATTTAATGGGAATGTTTGACCAGAGCTGTGTTTGGCATTCCTTTCCATCATACCACACAAACCTTTTTTCACCTTTTCTTTCAAGTTTTCATGGGAAAACCCATTACTCTTGCAGAGCTGCTGGAGTGAAACCTTGTGGTTTTACTTATGGACTAACAGCTAAATTAATCTCTGTGGCTGTGGCTAGCTATAGAATATTAATTTGCTTTTCATTTCCCGTTACTTTTTTTTTTTCCTTCATCATAATCTGTGCCTAAACTAGTGATTACATTGTTTTGCCCACTATTGAATACCATCCCACCATGTAGGCATTTCGACTTGTGTAGAACTCAAGTTTCTTGAATAGGCAGCAGTACACTTTTAAAAGAAAAGTGAAATAAATGTCACAAGTGGTGCAGACCATGGGCTCAGTCTCTGACCAGGAGCAATATGCTGGCAGGAGGAGGTGTGAACAGGGCAAATACACAATGATGCTTCTCTGTTCTGCCTCTGGTGACCTGTGACTTAGAGATACGTTGATACAGACATAGGAATTTTACAATTAACAGAGCTCTGGATTTTTCTTCCATTGGTTTACCCAGGAGTGAAATTACTCATGTTGCAGGTTACTGGCAAAGGGTCATTTACTTACTGCAGATTAGATCAAAACTCAGGGGTCAGAGCTCCTGCCTCCCCCAGTCTCATAAAGAAAGTGATGCTCTGTGTGTAGTGCTTCAGCATTACTCTGACCCAGAATATACAGGTCTGATTGGAAATTGTGAAGGCCATAGTTACTTGTGCTAAACTATACAGAATTTCTCTCTTTTTAGCAAGAACTGAACTTCAAAAAATCCTGTTACGCACATGCAGCTTTTTCATAGTTTTTCTGTCCCCATTTCTTCTGTCTTGAAACTACTGTCTGTAAACAGTTCTTTTGCTCTTACCTCAAATATCCACAAGAAAATATTTACATTAAACTTTCTCAATTTGAGGACTTGAGGCTTATTTTATGTAGAAGATTTATAATTGCATGGAGAATGTTTCTTCATTCCATTTAGATGGGTGAGGATACTAGCAGATGTCAGGAAATATAAGTGCCAGAAGAGGGGTACAAAGTGTTTGGACAGAAGCTTCAGGGCCATTCCACTTTCCTCAGGTAGTATGAGAGAAAGGAAGACTTGTAGCTGCTTTGGGATGAGGTCTTATCTTTTGGGATGTGTATAACTGCACTCTCGTTCTGGAATGGAAGAGACGTTTCCTGGTCAGATGGAAGTCAGGCAGGGTTTATTCCTAGTTCTTGGTTTGGTTATGCAAATATGAGATCTTCATGGGAACCAGTTATAAAT